TCGGATGTGGCCCAATCCAGGTGCCCCGCATCCTACACCTCGCTTTATAATAAACATGGGTTTGTAAGTCTTTTTACTTTAGCTTGTTCAGACAAGTTGCCATATCATCTTCATGTCATACTCTTCCACGTATCCTTAATAAATGTGTCAATGATTGCATCCCATTAAAAGTACTTTTGCATGAAGAAGATAAAAATAATATTAGTATATTTGATGTTAAACAAATACTTTAAATGGAAAATAAAAAAAATAATTAATATGCTATCATAAATTCATTAAAGTATAAACATTTCATCTTTTAGAGATAGACTTTTATGTGGACCTAGTGAGTTTCGATCGCTTCTTGAAAATTATGTTGATTTTACTAAAGCACTTACTTGATGGAACCAAGTTATCAAATAAAAAAATAATAATAATAAATTAATGAATTAATGATTTTAATTTAATATATGAAAATATAAAACTAATTATTGTATGCAAAGCATATTACTTGCTAGTTATTGACGACCCAAATGATCTATCTAGTATTAGATTTAGTAGAGCTTCCTAGAGCCGAGAAAATCTTCATAGAGACCTCTATAGCTATGGGCACTACTGGCAAGGGAATTACTAGTGAGAGCACTACATAAAGGTGCACTATTAGTGGGGATGCGGACATACTAGCACAACTACTAAGTCTATGGCCTTGGATACTAGCTCTAGTAGTGCCACGACCATATATAACGTCATTATAAGTGATACGGTCATGGACACCACTAGTATCGGTGCTCTAACCATTTCCAATATCAAAGCGATGACCACGAACATTATCGCCATCGAGCCATACCACTGCTACCGTGACTAGATTTGCCCTATAACACCATCGGCCTACGGGGAGGATAAAAGTGTTATGACAATGCCACAAACCCGAAGAATGCAAAACAAAGTCTCTTTTCCTCTACCTCGTGTGTAAAATATAATGCACGACGAAAGTAATTTGGTTCAAAGTTCAAGGAAATCCTTAATTTAAACATAATTAAAAACCAATAAGTTTAGCAAAACATAAAATCATTTTATAATCTCATAACATGTTTATACATTAAAGTGTCTAAATTTCCCAAATATAATATAAGTTTACAAACCAAAGTGGTCAACTTAAAAAACATAAAAGTGACCAAATATAAGAAATAAAGGTATTGTTTAGCCTTTAAACTTTAAACCAATACATATAATACATACTTTGGCAAACTTAGCTTGCTCCCGACAGCATTCTCAACGCTAAAACATATCTTCACACATCATTTAGCTTACCTACTCATCATAAGACAAGCCGTAAGCTAATGCTTAGTAAGTGTAATTATGCATGAATGCAAGAAAGTGCATTTTTTATGATACTGAAATTCATTTTCTATCTTTCGATGCACCTTGCTTAATGTATAGATTCAACCTCTATTTAAAACTATCATTCATGAAAAATCATCAAAAAAATCATCTAATATCAATAGAGTCATGATCAAGTCCTCTACCAATACATGTTAGTAAAGCCATTACCAATTCCCTTACTAATATTGTTTATAAAGACCGATTGATATTAGTAGGGTGATTAACAATTTCCCTACCAATACTTTCATTCATGAACCTCACAAAGAGTTGATTATTCTCTTTTGTAAGCCCTATTGTCCTTTTATCCTTTATAAAAACCATATGGTATTAGTAGGGCCATTACCATTTCTCCTACCAATACATATTATTAAGGCTATTACCAGTTCTCCTACTTACATACTTTATAAGCCACATTGTATTAGTAGGTCACCGTTAAATCTCTTACCAATACCTATTTTCTTGAAAACATGCACATGTATTTTTCTTTGAATCCTTAAAAACATGATAAAAATATTTTTATGGTATGGATGCAATATAAATGCCAAGCTCAAGTAACCACATGAATATATAACCAAATATCCTCAAACATAATCATGAACCCGAATCTATCAAGCAACGAGAACAAGTTTTTAAATCACCAAATAATTCTATGAACACATAATGAAGTAGCATTAAGTAAACACATGAACCTAAAGCCATCAACTAACATCATAAGTATTCAATAATCAATTAAACATATGAACACAACATCAAATAGACACATCTTCACAAGTGATCATCAAGTAAACACAAACTAGTCATCAAGCATATCATCGCTTTAACTATAAAACCTTAAGTAAATATATCATCATATATGTTCAATCATCAATTAAACACACATACACGTTAATTCATAAACACATCAATCCTATAGCATCTATGTCTTATGATATATTAGATTACACTTACCAATACATGATCACTTAAATGAAGGAAAAACATCGTATGGACAAGTAGAATAAATAACAAAATTGTTTTTCTCCATCTAAAATCTCAAGATTTCTATTGAATCATGTAATTATATTAAGAGATCATTTAAACTATTATCTCTTGAAGTGCGATAACAAGGTAGCAAAATTGAATAGTCCACTGATCTCTAATAAAAATTCATGTAGCTTAGACACCAATACAAAAGAAGTAGAAGAAAGAACAAAAGTGTTAGCTCTTATTTCTTTCTGCTATGAAAATTGAGCACTATCTTTTTTTTTAGGGGAAATTTTTGCCGGGACACTCTATCTTATGTTATATGGTTTGATCCATCTTATTCTTTTATAACTCTTTTAGGTTTAATGATTTTTTTTCCAAAAAGTTCTAAAACATGCCTCTCCACTTAAAATACATCTTATAGGCTTTCCCATAAGCATATTAGCTCAACACCTTAAGCCCAATGACTCGGTAATTAAATGGATCATATAAATAATTCGGGTCGGGAATTTTAGAGAGTTAATTTAAAAAACTATTTTCTAAATTATCCTTATTAGTTTAGGAAACCCAATTTAAGAAATAATTTTTTAAATTATTCCTATTATTTTTGGAAACCCAATTTGAAAAAATATTTCCTAAATGACCTCTATTATTTTAGGGAATCTAATTTAAGAAACTATTTTTAAAATTCTCTTAGTGCTTAAAGAATTAAAATCAATTATTTCAATTCTTATTTTCTTTCATAATTCTTCACTTCTCTTTATCCGGGTCAATGTCCGGCTTATGCGTGTGACTTAATAGGCTTCTAGATATATTGACATGTATCAAGATGTAAAAGATAATTCTTTTATCTCTTGATACATAAATCAAAATTGTCTTCTAGTAAAACATCATGACTACCTTTAATCCATAATAATTTTTCATGAGTATGGTTTCCATATAATTCGATCCTTATGTCAATTTATCACATGTGATCTCAAACTTGATTTTGTGTCCGTTCAATTATGATCACACATAAGTTTTCTTCAATCTCTAAATATTTTAGTTTTCAAGTAAACCAATCATGCTCTATTGGTATACTTTCACTATTGCCACGGATTCTTGAGTAGACATTTATCGAAGTGTAATGTGATAACTCCTTTAGTATATAAGGAATGATATGTCCTATCTTAGTTATTCACCTATCTCTCTTAGATCTCTAATGTATTTAGTGAATCATCCATATGTAACTCTTTACTCGAGCTTAACGTAATGAATGTCAAAGCACACAAATCCTCTAATGAGATGATTGTGATAACTTCAAGTCAAAGAACTGTTTGTACCCATCTCATATAAGATTCTTATAGACTATACCAAATGGTTTCTCATGGCAAGTCACGTCAAGTGATATGTTCTATAATAGTATTCACATTTATGCTTGCGTAGGCATCACTATGTCGATAGGTGTGAGATCTCTTACTATTATCCCGTAGTAAAAGTATAGCATATATAAGTCTTACTCGTATATGTCAATGTCCAATTTTAATAATTCTATGACTTAAGACATTTAATGATTTCATTCAAATACATTAGTGTTTATCTCACATCTATTGATCAATCTAAAGGATCATTCATTCTATAGAGGTGCGAAATAATGTTTTTTTCCTCCATCTAGGGTTCCTAAGATCATGATGTTGAATCAACTAATTATACATAAACATGAATATAAATATAATGAGCGATTACCTCTTGTAGTGTAGAAACAATCTATATAGAAAGGGAGTCATCCAAGTTTCGACCCATTTTGATTATCCACGTAGCTTAAACAATCCTATACGAAGCAATTAGAAATTGTAAAATGCTATCTTCATCTTTTTTTTTTTTGAATATTAATTTTCTCTAAAGAAATTAGTCGGGGTTTTGTTTTTACGGTAACCCTAGAGAGAGAGATAGAGGTATTTACAACTCTTGCCCTAATTTTATATGGCAATTGCTTTATTTTTCACCACTTACCATGTCTCTCTCTTTCTTTATTTATATGGGGCGAGTATCCTTTCCTATAAAGACAAGGAGTCACACCATCATTGTCCTATAAGGATAAGGAATTGCAACATGTGTAGGCTTATTTAATTTTATCCTTGTAAATCATGAGTCTTATCCAATAATGCTCAATTTTATCCTTTCACCAAAATACCTTACAAGCTTTAAAATTAAACCTATTGACTCGAACTCTTTTGGACTAATTAATATATGATTAATTGGACTATCCAAATGAATTGGGTCGGATATTTTTAGGAGGCCCACATTAGAAAATAATCTCTTAAATTACCCTTAAACCTAAATTAGTAAACTAATTTCCATTTTACATAATTATCTTTCAAATTTAGAACTAACTTTCAAATTAGAAAAATGATATCTAAAATAGGAAACTTTCTATTTTAGAAAAAAAATTTCAAAAAAAGAAAAGGTGAAACTGGCACTCTACCAATTTTGAGTGTTTATTTTATGGGTGTTTAGAGTACATAAATTATCGATAGAGGCCGAACACTTGAAAGACTCTTCTTTACCAAGGTTTAAATCTATGCTACAAAAGGTAATTCTTTATTTAGGGCTTTAATTTATGGATATATGGTTAGTTGATTTAACGATATGATATTGGGCCCTATAGATAGAGAAAATTTTTATTTATTTCGCACCTCCATAGGATGTATGATCCTTCATCTTCTCATGCTGCCACTCTTCATTATTGTCTTCCTTAAAGCCAAAAGGACTAGTACTTCATAGTCCAAAAAGCTTGGCATTACTGGCATCCAAATGACTTAAAAGACTCCATACCGACCACCTCACTTAGTACTTTATACTCCCTCTTTGGCCAACTCACAAAAGAGATACAAGAATTGCATTTTGGCCTTTTGTTTTCTAGCTATGAAAGTTGGTGTATATGCTTGATATTTTATTTAATTAATTGAGTTAATTTTTTTCTATATTAATCCATGTTATTTTTCTTTGATTTTGATATGAGTCCAAATTGCATAACAAATGGATTGAATTAAGAATAAACCTAACTCAATATAAGATCTTGGGTCATAAAGATGGACATGAGTATTCTAACAAGGCCAATGTCCACGTCTTATTTTTGGGATGCATTAAGGAGATTGACTTGGTGGGATCGGAGCAAGATTTGTTAAAGGAATGCCCAATTGGTACTTTCTTTAACCTTTGCTAGCAAGTTGAAGCGACTAAACCCAAAAAACCTAAATCTTTCAAGCTAAATTTGATCGTTCAAACTTGGATTACATGGCATGATCTTAACAATCTAGGGCCATCTTTTTCCACTATAAATACCAATCTTATATCATTATGAGGGGATCAGAATTTTTACATTAGAGAACTTTTGATTTTATAACTTTCAATCCTTAGTAAAAGAGACGTCTAAACTCTTCATCTTAAAACTCTCCTACTCACACATGAGACAACACCTAAAACTCTAACTATTTGGACTTTGACTACCTACCCGTCAACCACTCGACTTGTGCTTTGTTAGCATTACATGCTTCTCCTCCCATACCTCTCACTATTTGTATCCTTTCTATTTAGTTGATTGATTATCTTTTTCATTCCTAACTATATCAAGAAAAAAACTACAAGAGTATGTTTTTTTGTTATATTGCAAGTTTTTATGTTGCTTTTGTTAGTGAGGATCACTATTTCTTAAGCTAAAAATTTGGTACCATGGTAGAAGGAGAGAACATGGGTTTCATTTGGTTCGATGGAGGAGAGGGCGTGGAAGAGAGAAAGATGGGTAGTTATTATTTTATTTCTATTTTTCCAAAAACAAAAGAAAAAATATAGATGATATAAAAAGCTAGAGGAAAGGAGGAAGAAGAAAGAAGAATATTAACATAAAAATGTTGAAATGATGCCATTTTAACCTTTGCTCGTATTAGCAATCTTGACATTACGGCAATGAAACTCATGGATGTTAATTTGGTTAAGATCAACGAGTGGTGGTGACAATCGGACCAACTTCCAAAAGCAATTGGAGGATGTCTACATTGATGGATGCACCACCAACGGAAAGGATGGCTTTTATAGATTTAGATTGAGTGGATAAGAATTGTAGTATAGGGAGTTAGGAGTCGTAGGTTTTCAAGAAGAGGAATTTATTGGATGCAAAGGGTGTTCTTTGCCAATTAGTCAAAAGAATAGAGGTGATGTGAAGATTACTACTTTTGGGAGATCTTCTTCTTGTTTTTGGGTTTGTTAGAGTTAGTATTATTGATTGCCATTTTTTAGTTTAGGAATTTTTAGGATTTCAATTAAGTTTGATTTTATGGATTTTTAGGATTTGAAATCATAAGAATAAGAGAATTGCATGACATATTGCCTAAATTAGGAAGGATAATTGTGAACTAAGCCACATGAGTTCCTACGGGACATTTAATTCTTACTATCAATATTTCTTCCTCGTTACGTTAGTTAACAACAAAATTTTAATTGAAAAAATCAACGCGTACTAATATAATTAACAAAAGATTAGTTTATATATTTTCTATATAACATTAAAAGAGTGTTCTAATGTGATTAAAAATGTAAAGTTTATGCTTTTTTGGTTCAATAATCCTTAATTAAATTGCTCAATCTTATCCATTAGAGTTTCAAAAAGGGCATATGTTTCCAATACATCGAATTGACAAGCTTTATCAAGTTAGTTAACACACATGTTTAATGAAATTTGGTATCTTAGATCTAATATATATATATATGTTATAACTTCAAATTTGCCCCTTTAATTATTTTAGATTATTTTATAATTTCTCTTTTATTTACTTATGGTAGATTTTTCATGAATATTTATTTATTTATTATTATCATTAGTGTTATTCCATTTAATTTTTAAATTTTAGTTTAATTCTCTATTTATCATTTTTATCATAAATACCAAAACAAAAAAAAACGTATTTTTAAAAATTGAGTTGGGGTCCAATTGAAAAGAGGTAAAAGATGAGGACCAAATAGCATCCAATTAGAGGATATAATTGGAAGAGAATAAAAAAAATCAAAGGCCTTAATTGAGAATAAATTAGGATGGAAGTAAAAGAAATTAAAAGAAAAGAGATTAAATAATTTTAACGAGGGGCCAAATTGAAGAAAAATGAAAATGCTAAGGGACAAAAATTGAAGGAAGAACGAACAATAGGGTTGAACTTAAACGTTTGTCCGAATGATCCGTCGTTCAACGTCCGCTTTCCCTTCAAAAATGGAACAGTATGGGCACTGTTCCTCTTCTACATTTGGAAAGCTAACTTGCAGTACCTAAAAATGGAGTTGTAGGAAAAGAAGACAAAAGAGAGAGCCTGAAATTCTGTCCCTTGCCTTGACCCATCCCCCACATCACGCAGACCCTTACCTGCCCATGGTTCCCGTTGCTGTCAACCGTGGCCATGGAAGCAGTTGACAGCAACAATGTAAAGAGAGAAAAAAGAAAAAAAGCAGCGGGTTTCGGCAGAGAAAAAGGGGGGTGAGAATGAAAAGGAAAGGATCTGAGAAGAAAGAGGAGATATTGGCTTTAAAAGGAAGGGAAGAAAAGAAAAAAGGAGGAGAAGGAGTTTTGACAGTGAAGGTTGAAGAAGAAAAGAAGAAACAAAAACGGTCCTAGCTCTTAGCCACTGCCATTTTCTCTTCTTCACTATAAGAAGGAAAGTGGGAGTTATCCTTTAACATCCATCTTTCTATTTCACCCATAAAAGCTTCAAGAAGGTGTCTTTCCTTGCCATGGCTCTTTTTTTCTCTCTCTAAAAAACTCTCTCTGGGTTGAAAACAGTGGTGGAAAAAAATTTTTACCTCAAACTTAATGGGTATATGATGAGGGAGGATGATTTTTTAGAGGATAAAAACTCACATAAATCAAAACAGTGGGCGGTGGTGTGGTGTGTTGGTTTGGTTGTTGTCGGTGTACATTTTTTGGTGCTTGTTGCGGCCATGAAAATGAAGCTACTGCTTCTGTTTCTGCATTGGGAGGGAACGGTGAAATTTTTCAAATTTGTATCCCCAAAGTTAGCTGGTCTATTTCTTTTGATAATTAATAATAGGCTTGTTTTGCAATAGGGTCCCTATTATGTAGGAATTGGGGGTAAAATTGATAGCTTTTAATTCTAGGGCTAGTTTTGTTTTTATTTATTCTTACAAGTCTATTATATATATGTGTGTGCGCGCTTGCATTTAAATTGTGTTTTTTTTTTTTTTAATTTTTAGGAGTTAGTTTGCTATTAGTTTTGCAATTTATTTGGTTATTCTGCCTTTATTTTAATTATTAATGTAAATTGTTTAAAAATTAATCATTTGGTCTACTGTTTAATTTTATTTAAGTCTAAAGTTTTTGGAGTGTATTTATGTGCCACTATTTAACTTGTGTATTAAATTTCATATTGATATTACTTTTACAATTTATTTATTTATTCTACCCTTATTCTAATAATTAATGTAAATTATTTATAAATTTAATTATTAAGTATACTTTTCAATTTTATTTAAATCTGAAATTTTTAGGATGTGTTCATGTTTTAGTGTTTAAGTAGTGTTTTAAATTTCATAATTATTGGATTTCATTTGCTATTATTTTTTACAATTCATTCCTTTATTATGCCCTTATGCTAATAATTAATGCGAATTGTTTAAAAATTAATCAGTTGGTTTATCTTTTAATTTTATTTAAATCTAAAATTTTTAGGGTGCGTTCATGTGCTAATGTTTAACTTATTTTTTAAATCTTATAATTATTGCTATTATTTTTATTATTTATTTATTTATTCGGCCTCTATGCTAATAATTGATGTCATTTGCGTATAAATTTAAATATTAGGTCAATTGTTTAATTTTATTTAAATCTAAAATTTTAGGGTGTGTTCATGTGCTAATTTTTAGCTTATGTTTTAAATTTTATAATTATTGGAATCATTTGATATTAGTTTTACAATTTATTTATTTATTTTTCCTTTATGCTAGCTAATAATTAATGTGATTTTGTTTATAAATTTAATTATTGGGTCTATTGTTTAATTTTATTTAAAATTAAAATTTTAGGGAGTGTTCATGTACTATTGTTTAACTTAATTTTTAGATTTTATAATTATCGGAGTTCACTTGTTATTATTTTTATAATTTATTTTTTTATTCTTCCTTTATGCTAATAATTAATGTAAATTTCTAAAAGAAATTAATTATTAGGTTTAGTTTTTAATTTTATTTTAATATAAGATTCTTAGGGTTGGTTCATGTATTGGTTCTTAGCGTCTATTGTAAGTTTCATAATTTTAAAATCCATTTACTATTTATTTGAAATTTATTTAATATTTTGCTCCATTTTTTTAATTGTTAGTATAGTTTATTTATGAAATTTGATTATTTAGCTCACTGTTTAATTTTATTTTAATCTAAATTTTTTAGGGTTTATTAATGTGTTTGTCTTTAGTATTTATTCAAAATTTCATAATTTTAACAATTCATTTATAATTTATTTGATATTTAGTTATTATTCTGCCTCATTTTTAATTATTAGTGTAGATTATTTGTGAAATTTAATTATTTTGTCTAGTGTTTAATTTCATTTTAATCTGAAATTTTTAAGGTGTGTTTATGTCTTTTTCCATATCTTTTTTTTTTAATTTTCATAATTTTATGAGTTCATATACTATTTATTTTATATTTATTATTGTCATACCATTTATCTTAATTATTAATGTGTTGTATCTCGGTAGTTGAGTTTTTTAATTCCAATATCTTTTAATATTTTGATCTGAAAATCTTAGGGTTTGTACATATGTTTTTCCATGTCTAGCATTTTCATTTTTGTAATTTTATTAGTCTATTTGCTATTTGTTTGTAATTTATTTACCATTCGGTTGCTATTTTAATTACCAATGTGATTTGTTTTAGAATTTAAGTTTTAAGTTTAGTACCTTATGTTATTTTAATATGAAATTTTTAGAGTTTGTAACAATGCTAGTTCTTGGTATGTATTTCAATTTTCATAATTTTTTAAGCTCATTTGCTATTTATTCATAATTTGTTTTGCTATTATTATACTTATGATGTAGTATTTCCTATTTATTTAGCAAGAAGAGAGATTATTAAGTCTCCTAGATTCTACGTAGTGATGGCGACCCCTCATCTAATTCATCTTGAAATTAGAAAGCAACATGTCATCTTGGGATAATTAGAAAAATTTAAATCAATCTAACGAGTCTCTTATTTGAATAAGAACTAATGTTGGTCTCGACTTACAATTAAAAAAATAATAAAGAAATAAAAGGAAGTAAATTAGTCGGGATAAATATAAAATCAGTTTAAATATATTTAGCTAACTAAGTTGTTTCTTGACATGTCGATCATGTTAGGACATAATTGGATTCAATGTTAAATTGACGCGACTCCTAACCTTGGCCCCTAATGTTAAATTTAATACAATGCCATCATAAAAAATTTTAAAAAAATTAATTTTGAAATATATTTCTTGTCCACGTCCAAATAAAACATATTTAGTTAATTAAGTCATTCCTCGACATGCCAATCATGTCAAAACCTAATTGGATCTTATGCTAAATTGATGCAACTTCCAACCTTAGGTCCCGATGTTAATTTAATATGATGATGCAAACAAAAAATAAAATTAATTTGACCTAGATGATAATTAAGCTTTGAAATAGACTTAGAAAATAATTCAACAAATATAATTCTTAGGATATATTTTTAGAATTAAACCAAATATGGTACCTTTTCTTAAAAAAAAGGTGATTTTGGGTGATCGTTCTCTTTTCAAAGGCTTAACCAATTCTTTATCCAATAATCTATTAATCTAGTGCTTTTTTAGATTCTTAGTTACCTTTAATACTTGGTAGCAACTCCAAAAAAATTTTCTTAATTCTTTTTCTCTTTAACTTTTAAATTTTTGAAAGTTTCTTAAATGTCTATAGTGACATTATAACAACTCCACTAGAGAATTAGAGTTATGCCTATGTTTATTCTATTTTACGTTTATCTCTTTAATTGCATTTTCCATTTATGTTCAAGTTTTTTAACTTCCAATCATTTATTTATCATTTATTTAATTTCAAGTCATTTAATGTATGTAATTCTTTTTCATGCATTAAATTTTATGTATTCATTTTCATGCATATTATGAATTGGGTTGAATGTATCTACTTTATATCGTTATACACATATCACAAAAAAAAAGCCCGTTAAAGCTTGGGACCTAAGCTAAAATGCTTTAGGATTTAAATAGAGAGATTTAGATAGTGAGTATGATAAAAATCTAATCTGGACTCTTGTTTGGATTGGAACTCCTCCGTGCATGGAAAATTATGGAATTACCTTCTCATACCTCTCATTACGTAAGGTTAGAGGCTAGGTTGCCCTACTAGTAGTCTAGGCAATCTAGAAACATAAAAAGCCTTCAAGATTAGACAAGTTTTGCGTAAATTCTATTAAAAAAGGCTAGATTTTATCTCGTTACGATTGAACCCATTTAAGACATGAAATCTTTTGTGATATCACCATTCTATCTTTTTCTTTGATAGATTATCACCAAAATAAATCATGACAGAGAGTGAATATATGCAATCGAGGATTTTAGGGATAGGTAAGAGCTAGCCTAATTTGAGGAAGAAGACTGTCTACCCTCGGGTTGGGCTCGTTGACATGATAGCTAATTTGACTACATTACTTAACTATTGTGAGATGTTTTTGTTCTAAGATTAATCCAACTTTTGATAGGTATATGGAGATATAGCTTAGTTGCTTATGGTGAAAACTCAAATCCCTTACTTTTAGGCTATGTTAACGCATTAAGACCTTGAATATTGTTGCTTTAACTTTGAAAGTGTAGATCTCTCTTCAACATTTGAGAAATATGAGGCCCTATTGGCATGTCTTAAATCGGGCATTGTATATTTCTATAGTCCACTAGAGAAAGCGCCCATCAACTTTTGCTTAAGACCAAGCAAATGACCAAGACGGGTTAAAGTCAAGAGTGGTTCTAAAGTCTACTTGAACCATATTTCAAAAGGTATCTAGATGACCAAGATAACTCTATCGATTTGAGGATTCTAGCTCTAGGAATTTATAGGATCGTATTATTTCTATTAATCGAAGACATGATTGGCTATAAATTAGTCAATGTATTCAAAAGTGTGGTATTTTCTAGAGTTAACTTCATAATGAAAATTTTGGCTAAAACCCTTTCTTCTTTGAATTTTTATAGAAGAAAAGATGATGGATATATGAGGTATTGTGTTCAATAATTATTTGTTTAGACTATGAGCCATGTGATGAATGGAAAAGCTATTAGAGTCTTTAGATCATCATGCATGACATTTGTATTCAAAAGTGAAGAATTTTATTGACCACCCTCTTAACGAGATTGACAAGG